TGTGTCTCTTTCACCCCTTGCCCATTGTGTCTCTTTCTCCCCCTAGCCCCTTTGTGTGTCTCTTTATTCCTCCAGTGCCATAGTGTTTCTTTCTCCCCTTCCCAACCCGTCCATGTGTCTCTTTTTTCCCCCACCCCCTCTATGTCTCTCTGACCCCCCAGCCTCTATGGGTGTCTATGCCCCTGAGTATGTCTCTTTTGCCTCTTCCCCAGCTCCTCTGTGTCCCTTAACCCCTTCCAACTCCTCTTGTTGTCTCTCTCCCAAGCCCCGGTCTGTCTCTTTTGCCCCTTCTCCATCTCCTCTGTGTCTCTGTTTCCCACAGCCCCTCTGGGTATCTCTACTCTCAAGCCCCAGTCTGTCTCTGTTGTCCCTACTGCAGCCCCTCTGTGGCTCATTGCCACCTCCCTCCCAGCCCCTTTGTGTGTTTCTTTCTCTCCAGAGCCCAATTTGTGTGACTTTTCCCAGCAGCACCTTGTCTCTTTCTACCCCAGCCCCTCTATGTCGCTTTGTGTCCCCTTCCAGCACCTTCATTTATCTCATCTTCCCCATGTGTCTCATTCCCCTAGCCCCCATATGTGTCGTATTCCTCCAGCCCCCACGTGTCTCATTCCTCCAGTCACCATATGTCTCAATTCCCTTGCCCCCCCCATGTATCTCAATCCCCTAGCCCCCATGTGTCTTAATCCACCACACCTCCATGTGTCTCAATCCCCCAGCCCCCCATGTGTCTCAATCCATCAGTCCCCATGTGTCTCAATTTCCCAACACCCATGTGTCTCAATCCCCCAGCACCGAATGTGTCTCATTCCCCCAGCCCTCCATGTGTCTCAATCCCACAGCCCCTTTATCTGTCTCAATCTCCCAGCCCCACATGCGTGTCTCAATCTCCCAGCCCCCATATGTATCTCAATCTACCAGCCCCCCATATATGTCTCAATCCCCCAGTCTCATTTTCTCTCCTCCATCCCCCATTTGTCTTACCCTCTCTCACTCCCAGCCCCCTCATCTCATGTGTCTGCTCACCTCTCTCGTCATGTGTAGCATGGCCAACCACAGACCGCGGGAGAAGAGCTTGTTTCTCTCCACCTGGTATAACAGGAAGCAGTTCCTGTCATACCGGGAAGAGGGAAGCAAGCTCTTCTCCTGCACTAAGCCTGGCTACATACAGAGACCAGCAGGGGGGGAGCACTGTAATGATTATCAACCTTGGCACTTCAGATGTTTGTGAACACATTTTCCACTGTAAACTAGTTTTAGAATTGGCTGAGCAGCATTGACATGTAGTCCACAAACACTAGTGCATAGAGATGCCCAATCTTTTTTTTCCCTCACAGTATTAATGTCTTGTGCGTGTGTTTTTATGTGAGACTTGATATGTATGTGAATGTGATACTGTACTTGTTAGCAATTTCAGAAAACTTTTATAGATTCCAATATTTTAAATGGCCAAAGAGGGACACTCTCATTTTAGTGGTGTGAGGGGGAGTGTTGCCAGGTGTGGGGCTATTCTGAGAAATTGTAGGTGTCTAATTTACACAGACGGATTTCTAAACACATTGATTGCATTTTAAAGATACATTACCACAAGTGTTATTGCTGTGGAGCTCTGTTTTACACACCAAGAGTGCAATGTTTATACAAAAGAGGGACAGTACGATAGAAAAGAGATTTGGGCCCAAAATAGGGACTGTCCCTCCAAAATAGGGACACATAAGAGGTATGAGCCTATTAGTGTGTGCATGGACATGCACAGTTTGCACCCACCCTGTGTTTTCCATCTGATTCCAGCTTTCATGCCCCATATCACTGGGTTGGACTCCTCCGACTTCAGTGCGCTCCGGAAAACTAAGCACCGTGAGCATATTAGGAATTTCCCTATGGGGCTTTTCTGGACATCCTCATGCAAAGCTCCTTGAAACTGCAGGAAGTGCCTATAGTTGCCATCTTGTAGATAGCTACTAGAAGAAGTCTTAACACTGCAGTGTAAACATTGCAGTTTATCTAAAACTGCAATGTTCTATATTGCAGGGTTAATGGAACAGGGAAACTACACCCAGATCACTTCAATGAGATGAAGTGATCTGGGTTCCTATAATGTCCATTTAACATGTGATAGCAGGTTACAGCAGCAGGGGTCCAAAAGCCAGAGGCAGTGGCGTACATACCAGGGTCGCAGGGTTCGCGGCTGCGACCGGGCCCGGCCCACCAGGGGGCCCGGCCGCCCCTGCGACCTAGTATGTACCCACTGGACCAGCCTCTTCCCCTGGGGGGCCCAGGAGCCGACCACCCCAGGGCCCCCCGAGGCTGGCCCTGCTGACACCCGGAAGGTGGGTGGCCGGTCGGGCAGGCGGGCGCGCGAGGGAGCACTCAGTACTTCCTCTTCAGCTCCCTCACGCACCGCACTGATACCGGAGCCGGAAGATGACGTCATCTTCCGGTGCCGGCATCCCTACGCGGCGTGCGAGGGAGCTGAAGAGGAAGCACTCAGAGCAGAGTGCTCCCTCGCGCGCCGGCCAGACAGCCCGCCAGCCAGCTCAGCAGCACCACTGGACCCCAGGGAATCCCCCCAGCACTCCAAAAGGTAAGGAGGCTGGGGGGATTAAATAAAAAAAAAAAAAAAACATGTGTGAGTGTTAGAGTGTGTGAGTGTTAGAGTGTGAGTGTTAGAGTGTGTGTGAGTGTTAGAGTGTGAGTGTTAGAGTGTGTGTGAGTGTTAGAGTGTGTGTGAGTGTTAGAGTGTGTGTGAGTGTTAGAGTGTGTGTTAGAGTGTTAGTGTTACAGTGTGTGTGAGTGTTAGAGTGAGTATTAGAGTGTTAGTGTTAGAGTGTGAGTGTTAGTGTGTGTGAGTGTTAGAGTGTGAGTGTTAGTGTGTGTGTGTGTGTTAGAGTGTGAGTGTTAGAGTGTGTGTGTGAGTGTTAGAGTGTGTGTGAGTGTTAGAGTGTGTGTGAGTGTTAGTGTTAGAGTGTGTGTGAGTGTTAGAGTGTGTATGAGTGTTAGAGTGAGTGTTAGAGTGTTAGTGTGAGTGTTAGAGTGAGTGTTAGAGTGTTAGAGTGTGTGTGAGTGTTAGAGTGAGTGTTAGTGTGTGTGTCTGCTAGTGATTGTTAGTGTGAGTGTTAGTGTGTGTGAGTGTTAGTGTGTGTGAGTGTTAGAGTGAGTGTTAGTGTGTTTGTTAGTGTGTGTGTCTGCTAGTGAGTGTCAGTGAGTGTGTTACTGTGTGTGTCTTACTGAGTGTGTGTGTGTGTTAGTGAGTCTGTTTGATGTCTGTTAGTGAGTTTGTGTTTGTCAATGAGAGTGTATGTTTTGTAAGTGAGTGTGTATGTATGTCTGTCGCTGAGTGTGTCTCTGTCAGTAAATGTGTGTGTCTGTTAGCTAGTGTGTATGTGTCTGTAAGTGAGAGTGTGTGTGTCTTCAGCACTTACCTTTCTCCAGCGCCGGACTCCCTTGGCACTGGGGATCCCTCAGCCTCTCAGCTCCGAAAACGACCGCGCACGCATTCAAACCGCCCAATAGGAAAGCATTACTGAATGCTTTCCTATGGACATTCAGTGTGCTCCTCTAGCGGCTGTCAGTGAGACAGCCACTAGAGGCTGGATTAATCCTCAGTGAAACATAGCAGTTTCTCTGAAACTGCTATGTTTTCAGCTGCAGGGTTAAAACTAGAGGGACCTGACACCCAGACAACTTCATTGAGCTGATGTGATCTGGGTGTCTGTAGTGGTCCTTTAAGTGTGTGTGCATCTGCATGCACTGGCGTACATACGCAGGTCGCAGGGGTCGCAGTCCTGTAACCCATGCGACCAGGTGCCCACCGCCATGTGTTGCGGCTCGGCCCGCACGTGGGGGGGGGCCCACGGATCAATTTTCGCACCGGGGCCCCATGGGTCATGTGTACGCCACTGTCCAGAGGCTTGCACTAAAATTCCCATGATGCTTTGCCAGCCAGCCTACGGCTTAACTTGACTTGCAACCTGTAAATGCAGTTAATATGCAGGTTCACGCTGTGGTTAGTGAGGCTTAGGGACTCTCCATTCAGCCATTGTCTTATGGTTGTTTGTTTCTGAAAATGTGCATTTACATTTGTAGATTCTTTATCTTTAACATATTACATTTGTAAATGGTAAAGACAAGGAAAAGATACGGCATAGTATTAACTTAAATGACCTGCAGCAAATCTTCATCTATGTCGGTTTAATACATAACATTGGCTCATGAAAATCGTAGTCTGTATTTATCCTGCCACATTCTCCTCTAATGCGTAATCTGTGATGTTGGGTTTAGTGTATCTGTCATTGCACTACCCAATTAAATATACAGCAGTAAATATATATTGTGGAATGATACCAGCTGAATTTAAAAATAAGAAATGCAGGTCAGGTTTGGAATAGATTTAGTATGGCTTTCAAGAAGAACCTTGGGCATGCCGAAGGACATATGTATTGTTTATAGGAAATATGCTTCGAGGAGCAGCCCCCAGCTAAGTAAAGTGCATTAATATGAAACATGATTGGATTTGGAATACAGGAATACAGTTATCTATGAAGCGGTGTGTAAATTTGTCAGTAATAGGTGTTTAGGGTATCACAGGGAAGTTTACCTATCTATATCCCATGCCTTTAGGTGCCATGTGTAAAAAATGTTTACATCACCCCTCCCTGCTTACATATAGTGTATGTATATGGGTGTAGTGTGTGTATTGGATGTGTGTGATATTTGGGATGGCTATTTAATTTAGATTAAACATGCATGTAGTCACAAGTACGAATGCAGATGTGTATTTTTGCAGTGTCACATGCACACAGTCAGACATACAGTCAAATGCACACAGACATACACATATACTGTCAAATACAGTCACATGCAAACAGCCACAGGCAGACACACACACACAGTCACAGGCAGGCAGTCACACACACACACACAGTCTCAGGCAGTCAAAGGCAGACAATCACACACGCACAAAGTCACAGACAGACAGTCACACACAGACAGTGTGTATGTGACTTTCTGCCTGTGACTCTGTGTGTGTGACTGTCTGCCTGTGACTGTGTCACACAGTCACAGGCAGACAGTCACACACATACACACACAGTCACAGGCAGTCACACACACATGCACAGGGCTGCCATGGTGCCCTAAGCGGCCGCATAGATCACACATTCCTAAGGCCGGCCCTGTATATACCAACTGTTCAATTCATGTGGCGTTTAAGTGAGACTCATATAATGTTATTTGTAAATGAATGGTAACTTATAAAAGACAAAAAAACAAACAAACAGATATAACATTTTCACATTCAGGGTATACCATACTTAGAAATGTCAATATTCCTGTCTTCATGGATGGGGTTATTTGGATCTGGATGGAAGTAATCTTCAATATCATCCTACTTTTTTCTCTTCACCCACCGTGCCAATATTTTCCAGCCAGCATACTATTTGAATAAGTTGACCTACCTACCAATGTTCCCTGTCAACTCCAGGACAGGGAAGAGAGCCGGCTGCACAGAGCACTGTGCAAGGGACAGGTCCACCCACCTATCAAATGGACTGACTGACAGCCTGCCCCCTCAATGCAGGCACACAGTTCTTTGCATGGTACTAGTGCCTAGTCCCCTTTTATAATATTAGAACAATGCTGTAAGTGGTAGACGATGTGAACAAATACAGTATGGTACCTATTAAAAGTAGTGACAGGCGTAGATCTGCTGCAAAGTGATTTGGCACTGGCTTATACCCACTAATAGAAAAATATAAAAAGAAAATGAAAAGATAAACACAAAAAATAATGGAAAAAATCAAAATAGTAACAGGAGCACTGAGGCCTTAAATGGTTAGTAATGCCCATAGGTACACCCTAAGCAGAGACCTGCATAAAAGGGGTGGGACAACACAGACAGGACAATTTGGCAACCAGTTGAGAAACACTGGGCGTCCACAGGGCTGGATTTTTCAGCTGGTGCTGGTATTTCTCTATTGAGATTAAGAATACACTGCAATACCGGCACTGTGTATGGAGAAAGGCAGGGATAGGAAGCTACATCTTATCCCTGCTTCTCTCTCCTGACTGAATCCACAGGGGAGAAGCACAGAGTGCAGCCAGCAACTCCCAAACTGCAGAGACAGACTACAAATCATGCAAGTGAGGGATAGGGGTGGGGGGAGCCTACAGGAATAGGCAGCAAGGAGCAGGAAGCTAAAGTAGGAGAAGGAGCAGAAATGAGCAAGAAGGGTCAGCAGGGAGCAGGAAGAAGCAGGAAGGGTCAGCAACTAGGAAGGGTCAGCAAGGAGCAGGAAGGTAAAGTAGAAGGAGAATATGGCGGGATTGCCTAAACTGTGAATTGCCTTGTTTTGTTTGTGTGTGGTTGTGCCCTACTGTGTTTCTTTCTCCCCTTCCCAACCAGTCCATGTGTCTCTTTTTTTCCCCACCCCCTCTATGTCTTTCTGTTGTGTTTCCCCTTTTTCCTATTCCTTTTTCTATCATTTTGACTCTAAATTACTGCAATGCACCATTTGACCGGCCAGGAGCGCTCCGGTGCATGGAGCCCTGGGCTCCGGACCACCCCGGCACCTCAGTTAGAACGTTTACTTGGAATGTTCACACCTCACTAATGAGGTGTGAAAACTGCAGACCGCAGGGGAACGAGTGGTGCGTGCTGCCCCTTGGTGGCCGCCGGTTCGTATTACCGAATGCCCACAAGGGGGAGCATTAGTGTCCCGAATGGCCTGGGTACACTGTCTTGGATCCTGGTGTCAGGGATCACCCTACCCGCTCCCAATGGAGCTATAATCACTCCTCCCTTTCCTTGTCCTACCCATAACCCCTCATCCCAGTCCCTTACCTGGGAGCTACGAGGGACTTGTGCCAGCCCAGAGATTCCCTGGGGTTGTGGGTCGGTCTCACGACCGCAGAGCACCCGCTAGCCGCATGGAAGTCCATGCTGACCAATGGGAGAGGGAGCACCCATTCAAACTCACAAATAAAGCGCTGATTGGTCGCCACAGGGAGCGAGCGACCAATCCGAGGAGGAGCACTTATTTAAACGGGGTTTCGCGCCCTTCCATCTGATTGGGCGGCAAAACCCCTTCTGTCTTCACCCACCGAAGTTTTGCGCCTTTCAGCGGATTGGTGCAACCTCAAGCACGGATTGGTGCATGCGAGTTTCGCACCCTTTCTTCGGATTGGGCGGCGAAACTCCTTCATTCCCCTAACTCTGATTTGGTTTGCGCCATTTCGGCTGATTGGCTGTTGCTTGGTTTAGGTGCGAAGTTTGAAATCACCGGACTAAACCAAGCAGCGCCATGGAACTGATTCCAGGGATGTACAGAGCCTCGAGCCCCAGACTTTCGACGTTGATATCTCCGGCTCTGTACATCCAATCACCCCACCCATGGGACCCGGGGCTATCCCTCCATATAAAATTGAATCATGTACCCCCTGCCCTTCCCGGGGTGCCGAGCCCCAAAGTTCACCCCCAAGTATGTGAAGTATACTCATGCGTGTCCCTGTGTCCTGTTAGTATCTCCCAGAACGGAAGATGGTTATCTGTTCCACAGCCCCCTCCTGTATGTGTTTTGTGTTGTGCTGGATGGAGACCCCCTGCAGGGGTCTGTGCCTAAAAAGCTGTGTGCCCAATAAACATTGTCAAACGTTGTATCCTAGAACTGTGTCCCGTCCTGTTACTGGGGAAATGGGTCTGACCTACTCTAACCAAAGGGGATAACCAGCCAGGTTACCCAGGTCCTGCTACAGAGAAGAAAGGAGAAGGAAGAGACATAAAGGAGCAGAAAGGGGTAGCAAGGGGCTGGAAGGGGCAGAAGGAGCACAAAGGTAATGGAGGAGAAAGTGCAGTATGGGGCAGCAAGGAGCAGTAAGGGTCAGCAACTAATGGACGTTTGGTCCCCTAACTGACACTGGACGTCCTCATGCATGAGGACAACCAGCATCATTGAAATGCCGTAGGAAAGCATTGGAGCAATGCTTTCCTATGGGGAGGGCCTAATGCCCCTGCTGCGCATGCGCATCAGCCTCCCCACCCGTTGGATAACATCGAAGGAGGTGGAGCACTGACCCAGCACCGAGGGACATTGGTGCTGAAATCGGGTAAGTGACTAAAAGGTTTTAACCCTTTAGCTGCCGGGGGGGGGAAGGAGGGGTACAAAGCAAGGTATGCAACATCACAATCACACAGGAGGGTCCAGAGGTTGTATATTATATTATTTTGCATCCAAAATAAAATAAGTTAAGATTTGGAGAAATTATAACCATATCTTTCTATTAATTGCCTAATTTATATTTGATAGAAGGTTAGATTTTTGGACATTTGTTAATTCATATTTTTCTGCACTCCTTAGCAACTCCTTGCCCTTGTATTAAATATTTCTGAAGTCAAGAGATGTAAATCAATATATTTAGTGATATTTTTCTTCAGTTGTACTAGCTGCATAAAAAATGTATTGAAGAAAAGCAAAATAGGATTACATTCTAAACCTGTAAATTACAGAGCAATACGCTTGGCAGGGAATTCATAGCAGGGAATCTACTTGAAGAATTGTGAAATGATATCCTGGAAATTGTCTAATGAAACTGTATCCTTTGTTAAAGTCAACATCATTTTAAAAGTAAGAGATAATCTCAAGTTAACTGACTTGCTTGCAGTGTCAGCGCAAGGTGACAAAATAGCCAAGAACTTCTCCTGCATATTTTAAAATAAAGGGACACTTCAGGCAGCTAAACAAGGTAAGCTTAAAATAAAGCTAATAAGCACAAAATACCTCTGGTTAGTTTATTTTCTTTCAATTCTGTGCAGTTTTCCTGCAGTGCTGTAAAGTGTTTTGCTGTTTACAGCAGTGTAACCCAGCCTCCTTAGCCACCCCTGTGATGGACCGCCTGGCACCCCGACCGTGCGTCTCTGCCAATCACTACTTCCTAGTAATCCTTGAGTACCATATGTACCGCACCTGACACCATAACCACCGTAAACCCCACAAACTGCCGCAGCTTGGTTGGGGTCTTGCTGTCCTCCAACTCACCCTGGGCCCAAGACCAGGATCCAGCTTACAGTGGTAGACCTCTCCTAGTCCAGAGAGGCTGCTCTTACAAGTGTTGTAATCCAAGGGAGTATAGTGATTATAGAAATCCATAGAGTGAATATAGCTCTTCAATCCTCCAAACATAAGCCTAGACTTCCTAAAGGGGTATAGCGACTCTTTAATGGCAGCCACAACTAGCCTTTTAAGCAACGGGTTTCTGGTTACATATTCCAGGGGTATTCCCCACTGGGCTTGAGAGTAGACTACAGCAAAAACATACACATGGTTACACTGGCTCTCAGGTCCAGGACACTCCCACATAAAACAAGATAATCCCTCCTCTGTGCCTGGGAGATAATTAAGTCAGTAACTGTAACTGTACTAAACTCAAACTCATATGCCCTGATAACCCCGAGGTGGGGAACCAACATATCCAAAAATCACCCAGATCGGTTCAGGGGTTCAGGATTTCTATGGAAGTCATAATTTGACTGACCGCACATGAGGCTCCTGCCGAAAACAGTTCCAGAGAACTAGTTTGGTAGTTTAAAAACCGAACAAACTACTGAACATATTCAAGATTCTTACCCTGGAGCTTGTTCACCTTGTTTGTGGGAACGTTTCCACCAAACAGTGCCCTTCTAAGCGGTGTTCGGGAGTTCCAGTGTCCGAAAACAGGTCCATGAACTCGACGACCAAACACTGCTGCCTGCGTTCGCAGGAACAAGATGGCCTCCACCTCGTGGTCGTTCATGCGAACAGCGGCCACCCAGATGAACACTCAGAACACTGCGGTGGAAAGTGTTACAATCTGTCAATTAGGTTCATGCACCTGTTTGGTTCCCGAACCAAATATAAAATCTCACGAACCAAGTCTGTTCACATAGTTTTTTAAAGAGCTCATAGTCTTTTGGCAGGAGGCTGGCAAGCAAGCCCCTCCAAGAACCCGCCCGTGACGAGGTTCCGTCTGTCACAACCCCCCTCTCACATTTCAACATGCTCCTGATTCCCAATCTCTGAAAGAAGCATACTTTTTGCAGCTCAATGAAAAAAGAGGCA